ATCTATCTATCTATCTATCTATCTATCTATCTATCTATCTATCTATCTATCTATCTATGCATGCCATGGAGCCATGGGAACCCCCAGAAACATGTGTGAAGTGAGCCCTTGGCATACTATTTAGGGTATCTGCTCCCTAGGAAGAATGAGGCTCTCATGAGCATGCCATGAGACTTGGATCTGTGTACTCATTCATGTGTGAGGGAATGTCTCTGTCCTTTGCAACTTGGTTCCACAGACAACTTGGCTGAACCATCAGGCTTGGTCACCACCTAAGCATCAGGATGTCTCCTGACCCTGCCTCGTCTCTGAGCCAAAGCACCTCCATCTTGTACCTGGGGAGTGACAGGAGTCAGGCCCTGATTCTGGCTCCACATGACAGGTGGTGATCAGGCCCAGGGAGGCCCACATGTCCCAGTAGCAGGCCACTCTCTGCCCTCAGGCAAACCCTAAGCCAGCCCCTGCTGTAGTCAGCTAAGTCTGAGTGGGGGTGGGATACCTATTTCTGCAAGGCCAGTGACATGACTATGTGTTCCGTGAGGTCCTCACGGATATGTGAAAACAAGTTAATCTGACTTCTTTTTAAAAGATAATTTATTTCCGTTTCCACCTCCTTACAAGCCAAGGTACGATATATATGGATATATACACATTTTTTTTTTTCCTTCTTCTTCTTCACAGGAAATAGCACTGCCTGAGATCTTCGACCTCACACCTTTCTCAACCTTAATTTTAGAACATGACCTGGCAGGACACAAAGTTGTGTAACTAACATAAAACACAGCGTCACTGGGGGCTGCTAGCAACAGATGGGTGTGGAACCCCAAGAGAGAACAGACTGTGCAGATAGAATCCCCACAGAAAGCTGCATTGGAAACAGGGTACAGCCTAGGCAGCCGACTACGCTCCATGGGGATGCATGCCTGCTGTCTGATCCTCTGGTACCCCCCAGCAGCCAACATCCAGTTCGTTCCTCCTAAGGGATCCCCATCCTGAATGAAGTGTCAGTCTAAGGCCACTGACCGGGGTTCTTCTCCCCAGCTGGCCCTAAACTAGCACCTCTTCCAAGGATGGTGACGAGCCAGCCTTCTTCCCCAGGAGGGCCTCTTTCCTCCTTTCCATTAACACACCCATCATCTAGGAGTAAGGGATGGGATAGGGCCAGTGTGAGTTCAGGATCAAAGGCATGGACAGGGGTCCTTTCTAGATAAAGTGCAAAGTCTCTGGAGTTACAGCTCAGGGGAGCAGGGCTTGTGGCTGGGCCTGGAGTCTGCAGTGAAGCTGGTCCCTGAAATCACCAGCTTTCTGAGAGGTCTCATGGACACAGCCTGACTTGGGGTGGTGCTCCCAGCTCTGTGCTTATCTGCTCTTCAGAGCTCAGACCAACTACCAGAAGAACATTGGCATGAGCTGCCCCATCACCCTGCAACAGGGCAAGCTGGCCCTCACCGGGCCCTGGACTCTAACCCTCCCCAGAAGCAGGTGACATGCTGACCCATGGACTGCAGGGGGACTGTGGTACACAATGAAGGCTCTGCAGGCGCTTCTCATGGAGGATGACCTTAGTAGGGGTGTGTTCACCACATGTGAGCCGTCTGGAAAAGATTCGTTCACTCACTTCCTGACCTAACAGTGTACTCCCGTACATGGCCTGATGAAGTGGAGTTCAGGAGCCCAGCCTGCAAGAGGTCGGCCCAGCCAATGAGGCCCATGAATGTGGGCCTCCACATCCTTAAGCTAAACAAATGTGAGGCTGTGGCTGTGAGGATAGATCTGCAGGACAGATGAATAAGGTAGCTCAGCCCTTAGCAAAGGTTCTGCAGAGCTAGCTGGCTTGCAAGGTGGGTGGAGTAGGGGCCAATGGGCTAACAGGCTGCACAGATCTAGGCCACTACCAGCCAAGACTGGAGATACTACTTGGAACTATCCAGGTAATCTGACCTGTTTATGCTTCATGAGCTAAGCAGGGTGGCCAAGGCATGTTGGCCACAGAGCCCAGTTCACGCCGGCTTGGTGGGCCCTAGGGGCCCTGGAGCCAAGGAACCTCTGCTGAGAAGGGTCCTGTCATTTCCCTGAGGCTGTGGGACCAGTGTCACCTCCCAGAGTCCCTTCAGACTACCCCCACATGAGGATCCTCTAGTTCTGAAGTCCCCTGGCTGTCTGACTGCGGTCTGGGAACTAGAATTAAGCTGCTTGAGCTGGGCAGGCCCAGACCTTTCCTCCCTAACCAGCTAGTGGGTATGACCCAGGAAGGTCAAAGTTTGCTGTGAGTCTATGGCCTAAGACTACTAAGGTCACCACAAGTAGACCTCTGCTTTTCATATAGTTGCCTGCAGAGAAGCCTGGACACCTCACACTAGCAACCTGGAGTGGCTAGAATGGTGGCTAGAGTAGTGGCTAGGATAGGTGTTTCTAGAATAGGGCGCTGTCCCTGAAGCCTCCTGTGTCCATGGGCCCTGCCATGTCCCTGGGCTGCAGAAACAGAGACAGGGTATCCACTGCTTCCTCTCAGGTGAAGGGGACAGGCAGGCTGTAAGTGTTCCTTCTAGACCAGGTCAGGTCCTGTTTTATGGTTTTTTCTTTAGACCAGGCTTCACGTGGCCCTGCTGGCTTTGAAGCCCTATGTAACTAGAGATGATCTTGAACTCCTGATTCTCCTGCCTCCCCTTCCTGAGTGAAGGATTATAGATATACAATAGGCCCAACTAAGAAGACTCCTTCCTGTGCAGACGAAGCTTGAAAACCAGCTCTGACCCCATCCTCTTGTGAGGTGCTGAGCTCCTCCGTCCCTTTGTTTCTTGGAGAAGGGGAAGACCCCGGCCTGGCAGGTCGTACAATGCAGACCTCTCAATATGCCCGAGTGTGTCTCTCCATGACCAGACACTCTGCAGAGGCAGCCTGAAGGTTGCCGCGCTCTGCCTCCAACATCCACAGTATCTTAACAAAGCTGAGCCTCAGCAGACTGGCAGCTCACCGTAGTCTGTTTTCAGAACAGGGGACTTTTTTTCTGTGAGGTCAAACAGTATGATGTGTGTGACAGTGATTTATGAAGCCCTGAAGGTCACATCCCAGAAAGGCTTGAGTGTGTTGCTAACGGGCTGCATAGATCTAGGCCACTACCAGCCAAGACTGGAGATACTACTTGGAATTATCCAGGTAATCTGACCTGTTTATGCTTCATGAGCTAAGCAGGGTGGCCAAGGCGTGCTGGCCACAGAGCCCAGTTCATGCCAGCTTGGTGGGCCCTAGGGGAAAGCTATGAGAGGAAGACAGGATACCTCAGGGGTAGTCCCAGAGAGAGACACCGGCCAGAGGCTCCCAGATGAGAAATGCTCACCAAAGCTAGTTGCCAACAGAGGACATCTGCTGGCGATGGTAGGACCACCTCCAGGCACCTGCAGCTTTGAAGTTTTGCAGCAGCTTTACTCTCATCCAGGGCTGCCCTGTCCTTAGAGGATCACCATGTTCTTAACAGGGCCATGTGGGTCTAACATGGGTCAGAATTTCCAACTCTGTAGGGCTGGATCTGCAACAATAAGGAACAAGAGAGACCAAACAGGACCATCTTTCCTTCCTCCTTACATGACTGTCTCAAAAGATCAGTATTGAGACAGTCTCAGAGTCATTTGTGAAGTCCATGTGCTGGAACGATTGGCACTCTTCACCTTAAAGCTGTGCGTGGCTGCATGGGAGCAAGGCGGAAGTCAGACCACACAGGTGCTGTTGTACAAGAACAGTGTATCTCATGGCACCTTGGAGTCATGCCTTATTACACCTGAACTCACACTAACCCAGGACTGGGAGGAGCAAGGAGAGGTTACCATGCTTGCACAGCCAAAAACGGATCTAGAAAGGATAGCAGGCATCAGCAGGGGCGATCTCATTTTATGTCACCTTTGTAAAACACAGGAGTGGAGACAGGCACAGCTATGGGGTCCTGACACTGGGGTGGATGCCCTAGCTTGCCCCAGTACCACATAGTATGCCATCAGGAGTTGATCTGCCTGCCAGCATTTGCTTGAATTTCTCAGTGATGGATGTACAGCCTCCATCACCCCTGACACCCAGGAAATGCTCATTCTACAATTCAACCCATCCTACTCTTCCTTGGACGTCCTAGGCAGGCACTTCCCACAGGGAAGGCTTACCCACACCAGCCGAGGACACAGCTGTCAGGAGAGAATCGCTGTGCTCACAGACAGACCTTGACTAAATGTTACCGAAGGGTGAGGGACAGAGAAGGATGAGGCGATGTAGGATGACAGGAGAGCCTGCAGGCCTAGTTCAAGCTCAGTGACCAGAATGGCTGGCCCAGAAGGAACCTAAGCCGCTGGGGTGGATGGGGACAGCAGCTCTGGAGCCAGCTGGATGTTGAGGGTCAGACCTGGCCTGGTACATGAGTGCAGAGGAGGCAGATTCCTGTGGGTCTTTGAGGAGGAGAGGGCTGTGGGCTAGAGCTACCAGGCAACCTCACTTCCCCAAAGCCTCCTCATTCGATCAGAGTCATTCTGTGTGCTCCAGCTCCAACCAGTGCTCTTAGCAAAAGTGTCAGCCCAGAGGTGCTGAAGAAACCTTTTCCCCATGCTTCTTGCATTTCCATGGCATATATTGCTCCTGTCTGGGAGCTGAAGGATTTTCTCTGCTATTGAAGGACAGGCCACAGGTTCTGTTGACAGGCCTCCCGAGTCTGAGACATAGTTGTGGCTGGCAGAATGCTCACACCCCTAAGAAAGTCAAAACCCTTGAGTGCTCTTCCAGTTCCTGTGAATTCCAGTCCCTGTTTATGAGGAGATGAAGGACAGCAGGTAGCCAATACCTTTCAGGAAGGTTCCATGGTCCCTGTGCATAGCATACGCTCACAGGATGTCCTGTGGCAGGGAGTGGCAGGCTGTGACCCACAGTAGCGGTTCTGTCCTTACCTTGTAGCTGTGTGGACCCCCTCCTATGCCTCTGTGCCCACATGTCCCTGGCTCTCAGCAGGAACTCTGGGGACCCTAGATCATGGCCTCTTCCTCCACCCTGTCTCATAAGCCTGGTGCTCAAGGATAAGTATGTGTGGGGTGGTAGACAGTCCCTCATTTTTAGCTGTGTAAGCCAAGGGACACTTTGTACATAGAAGGGAGAGCAGACACAGGCAGGGGGAGACGGGCTTCTCAAGTTTTAACTGCTAGTTCTAGGGCAGCAAGGAGCAGCTCTGGGGCTGCTGGTGTCATGCGGGGTCATCACTGGGGTGACAGCTCCTGGGAGGACGCCATGTGCTAGTCTCCTATTCTGTGGCCATTTGCTCGATGTGGTCACTTAGCAGCTTGTATTGCTCTGGAAGAGAGAACAGGGTTATTCCAGAAGTGGTGATGTCCACGAATGGCTTGGCTCAAAATCTGTACACTCAGGCCAGGGAGGAGGTTTCTGACTTGAGCCATAGGCAGTCATTCTCTCCTTGGTACATTTCAGAGTGCCACCAGCACACTGCATCTCCAGGAGCACACACTTGAAACTGGGCCCTTGTTCCCAGGAACATGGGTTTTACAGGAATGGAATCATATGTGGACTGTGGCCCCTGGCAGCCAACAGAAAGCATTCTGAGCTCTGATGGCTGCCTGAAGGTGGAGGGGACACTGAGGCTGCCCAATGGCAACACATGATCTTGCACCTGAGGGCAGGGGCGAGTTACTGGTTCATCAGAACCCAGGTCTAAGTATAAGGCCTTAGCCCAGGAGAAGCACCAGTAGCCAGTAGCAAATGGTGACACACAAAGCTGACTGCAGTACTGAAATGGTAGCACTGAGGCCAGAAGGCTCTTTACTACGGTGACCTAACAGTGTGTTCAAAACAGGTGGAACTCTAGAAGTCACCAACTTGTGGCCAGGGTTTTGCTATGCACAAGTGACACAGAGGTACAGTGCCAGGGCCATATTCATCTCTGACCTGGCTGTGCTACCCGCCATCCCTCAGCAGAAAGGACTTTCAGTGGCACAGCCAAGAGTGTATGTTCCGCGGATTTGGGAAAGAAGGCAAGCCAGGAAAACAGGTTTCTGTGACAGATGCCCTCCTTCTGGCAGGGTGGGAAACCCCACTGTGGAGGGCTCTGGCTCCCACCTCCCCACAGTACCCCTAACCCAGCTCACCCTCATCCAGGTTGCCAATCACAGCCTGCTTCTTCAGGAAGTCACTGCATAGCTTCTTGTTCAGGCCAAAGGCCAGCATGTTGTGAGTGAACGTGCTGAAGGAAAAACATCCGTGGCTATTACCCTCTTGCTGGCCCGGAAAAGGGAGCCAAGATCCTGGGCTCTAACACTGGGGGATGGCTGGGACCTGGGGCAGCACCAGATGAAAATTTCACCCTACTTCCTAACCGGAGATTGAATCCCAGGACCATGAGGAGGATTGACCACCCAGCCCTGTGCTCCTAAGAAGTCACACCCACTATGCTGCCCCTGTCTGGTAGGTGGCCCAGGTTGGCTTCACAGCTTTGCTCTCACCCCAGCTGCCCGAAGGTGATGTTCTCATTGAACCGCAGGCTGTCATCCCGCTCTTCTTGGGTCATGTGGCACCATTTCTCCCTGTGGGCACAGGAAGAACTGGATGGGCTTCAGCATAGCCTGGGACCCTCCCTCCCCTGCTCTGTGGAGCTGGTAGTCTGCACTGCCTCTTGGACGCCTAGGGACCTTGGCGTGTGGCTTCCACCAGAGCCTGCTACTTGCCTGGGGAGCCCCGAACACCAACATTTATTCCCTGCCTAAGATGAAGAACCAGGAAGCTAATGGCACTCTATTGTCCTAGAGACCTTGGAGGAATCTGTCCTTTCTTGCCTTGTGTCCTGGGCCCAGATGCACAAGGCAGCATCTATGGGGGACACAAGAATGAGGAGACTGGGAATGTATGACAGCCACACTGTCCCTTCTGTACAGACTCTGCCTGCCTTACAAGGGTTCCCCAACATGGCTGTTGTCTGTTCCACATATCATGGAGGAGACACTCCACACTCTTCCTGTAGGCCTCCTGGTATTGGCCTGTAAGCACAGAGCCATTGTGAAGCCAGCCCAAACTCTAGAGCCCAGTGGGGTTGTAGGATGGCGGACAGTCTCTAAGAAAGAACTCCTGTTCTCTGTACTGGGCAGGGGGCATGGGATGGGCACCTGGGTAAGGTTGGGGTGTTCTTTGGGCAGAGGCAAAGTCCAGGAGTAGGACAGAAAGGTGCCTATGCTAACACTTCTGCCACTCCCACAGCAACCTGTCGCACATCACCCTGGCTTTTCCCCTTCCTGGTGAGGCTCCTAGAGCGGCCACCTCCTCAGAGGGCCCAGAAGCCCCCTGTGTCTGTGCTCATTGCCCATGTGAAGTCAGACCCTGGTTCTCAAAGATACACACACACCTTCAGATAGGAGGGGAGCTCATTTTTTGCCCACTTCCTCCAAAGAGAAGCCTCGGGATGGATGATTCTAACTAAGGTTATGGTAGAGAGAAAGATCAAAGTGAGCAGGGAGAGAAGAAGTAGCATGGAGGAAGGAGAGGTCAGTTGTGGAGAAGCAGAAGGAAGGAAGGAAGGGAGAGAACAAAACAAAGGGACAAACGTCCAGGCCTGGCTCTTCCTGGCCCAGACCACTGACTGCTACAGCTCAGCAGAAATGAGTTCACCTACAGCCTCTGCACACTTAGGCAGCACATCTATAAAGATCCCAGAATGCACTGCAGGGACGGTGCAGGCCTTCCAATACTGACTCTGAAGCTGTTTAGGCACACATAGCCCTGTGCCACCCACCAACCTGCCATGTACAGCTGTACACAGTAAACCACTCTCTTGAGTTGTGTGGCATAGCAGCCTCAATCCTTTATGCCTGACACCATGAGGAAGTGACTCTCCTTGCTGTGGAAGGGACTAAAACTAAGATGTCACCTGATTTCAGAAAAATATGAGAGCATCTTGGCCTGGCTGGTATCTAGTTACTTCTGGGAGCTGAGGACAGGCCTCTGCAATGTCCTACACATGGAACATTGATCACAAATCTAAGCTCATGTGGTGTGTGTGTGTGTGTGTGTGTGTGTGTGTGTGTGTGTGTGTCTTCAGCACTTGATGGAAACCTCTGGGTCTGGGTGATGAAATGGAATCTGCTGTTAGCAGGAGTCACTTAAAAAATGGCTGCTAGACACTGGGGGACACTAGTGATACCAGATATTCTCCAGTAGGCCTGTGCTGGTCAGTTAGCTACTTGGGCTCCAGCAAGGAGGCTTGTGAGGCCCAAGCAGCTGGTATTTTTTTCAGCTGGACTCAGAATAGATCAGTGGATCTACTGTCTGGGGAGGCTTTGACAATGTCCCTCTTTGGGCCCAAGCTCTTCCTAAGAAGCTGGTTTGTCACAGGGTCCTCTGTGGGAGCATGGGGCCCTGTACTGTGAGGAGATGTCAGGTCTGAATGTTCCTTACAGCTACTGTAAAGCCACAGCAGCAAGGGTCATTAGAGCAGCACAGCTGTGAACCATCTCCATAAAATGCCCAGGCGCCAATAAATCCACCTGTGTTCACAACTCTTTATAAGTAGGAGTTGGCCTTTACTCTAAAAATGTGTCACAGTGTCTTTTGGGAAACAAGTCCCCAAATCCCCATGCAGCCCATTTTTTGCTTCAAGGGACCACCTCCTGCTCCCAGCTCTTCTGGTTAGCCAGTGGCTGAAGAAGAGAGGGTAGCTGTCTTTCCATGTGACCCTAGGCCAGTGAGAGTGGAAGGAACTGCAAACAAGAAGCTTCTCCACGCCCACCCTCCACTTCCACACCAGTGGAATTCCTGTGTCTGATCCAGGCGCAGAGGGACCCACGGAGAGTGCCATGCCCTTGAGGCTAGCAGCCTTTTGCCCATGTGTGCCTCTTGGTGTAGCTCACAGTGTCCTGTGTTCTGACTATCTTAGGGTGCTCTGGCCGTCTTGGGCCAGGCCCTGTCACCAGTCTGCCTAGCACAGGGCATGCCTCCCCAGGGGCACCCTCCCCTCCTGACAGTGGCCTTGGAAGAAACCCCAGAGCTGTAAATGGAGCAAAGTCACGTGGACACACACCTCTTCTCCTCCTGCTCTCCAGCATCCCCTCTGGAGCGGCAGCAGAAACAGGTAAACAAAGGCACATGTCAAAGTCATGCAAGATATGTGGATGGAAAAGAACAAGCAGAGAAGATTATTCTAGGTAGGAGCAGAGAGGACAGAGAAAGACAGGGAACCCAGAACAGATGGATCTCTAGGAGCTGGCAGCAAGAAGCCAATGGCGTGCCTGGACCGCCCAGCCTCCAGACAGAGTGGAAATTTCCCCAGGGTCTTCTGGAAGTCTAGGGCCTTGCCCACCCCATGCTCCCTCTGCTTCCCCAGGAAACTGTTCCAAAATACAATCATGGGACTGGAGGCAAGCCACTTTATTCCCACTGGCCTTGGCTGCTCCTCTGAGGAAGGGTTCTACCTCTAATCACTTGCCAGCAGAGGAGCCATGACCAGAAGGCGCTCTGCTCATCTGCTCCCTCCCAAACTCAGCAGAAGGCCCAGAGCCTCCACATAGCCTCCATAGTCAACTGAAGCTTTGAGATACTGGCTACAAAGTCCCATACTTGGTGGTCCAGTAGGGCCTGCCTGGCTTCAAGTTGCAGTTTTCTTCTTGAGAAAAGCATAGCTCTGTCACATGGGGAAGACATCTGGTGAAAACCATTTGAATATGGAAAACACTGTTGTTTTGAGGGCTGCTTTGTTAAAACAAAGCTTTCCCCAAGGTCCTCATATATGGAGAAAAACCTAACTTCTCACAGGGCTGCTGCCCCAAAGCTGAGTGGAATGGGTAGCAATCTGTGCCCATTCCACCCAAAGAAAGCCTCTGTAGTATTGGGGACAAGCCCTTCCTGCTTTCCATGATTTCTCAACAGGGTCCCACAGGGCATCTGAGGTGCAGGATTAGCTTGGGCACAACTGGGAAGGTCTGCTTAGGCTTTAGCAATAGGCCCAGGGGGTGGTTGCACTGCCAGACCTGATTCTAACAGTGAACAGAGGGGTGGAGTGGAGGCCAGTGGTCTCCCTTGGGCAGAGGTGACATTTTAAGGAGGATCAGGCCGTATCATGCCAGAGCCCCAGAACAGGAAGCACCATGCAAGCTGAGCACCCCACCCCCAAAGCTGTGAGCACTAACCCCCTCAGGCAGCTTGCAAGGCTGACACATAGGTGAAACCATTAACAGCAGCTCAGCCATTTTGCTGGCTCCCAAGGATTTGGGAGACTGAGCCAAGATTTGGTCCTCTCTCCCAAGGCTGGAGGAGACACTCTTGGCTCCTACCTGGTGGTGGGGGATCGCTTCCGCCTCTCACAGTGGACAGCATCAAAAAAGGCCGCATTCCAGAACCTCAGTGTGTGCCTGCAGGATGAGACATGGTAAAGGTCTACCCAGGTCCTCTCTGCCCTCTACACCAAAAGCAACAGCTTCTTGTTTTATGAGAAGTATCTGGGAAGCTTGAGAGATGAATAAAATGTTGCCCTGGGGACCTGGCAGGAGATGGAAGAGTTGAAGAGGCCTTTGGGAAGGTGGAGCAGGCTGGCCTGCTCAGTGGCTCAGGCAGGCAGCAATGGGGCTTCCAAGAGAAAGTGGACAACTAGACCTCTGCTCTACTGAGCAGCATCTCCTCACCAACATGGGGACCCAGCAGCCACACACCATGGCAGTCACGGGAACATAGCCACAGGAACACAGAATCAAGAACAGTTCTTCCTGTAGAAGATCAGGGGTCGCCTATGGCCGGCACCTGCACATGAAGGTTCATTGCCACATGTCACCTTTGACTCCACCGCACAGTGTGTAGGAGAACAGAGACCACATGGCCCAGTGTCCACAAGAATGGCTTCTGGCCCTTTGTTTCACCAGCTCCAGGGACCTGAGGGGTGCAGCATAGTCACTGAGGTAACACAGACCCAGTGAGGCCCTCTCCTTTCTGCTGCACAGCATCTCCAGTTGATTCAGGCCCAGCTTCCCTGTGCTGACCTAACCCTTTGCCCTAGGGGTTCCCATGGTTTTTCTCAACCACACTTTTCACATGAGCCTTGCTGGACTGTGACCTTTGAGGGAGGGGCTGTGTTGTTGCATTCTGTTCTGTGCTAGAGTTGCTCCTCACTGGTGAGCGAATGTGAGATGGGAGGCTGCCCAGGGCTCCAAGCAACACTAACGGCTGCCAGAGGTCATAACTGCTGCTGTCTTGGTCTGTTCTGTGCTAACACCTAGTGATGTTATGTGATGTTAGCACAGTGATATGTAAAGAAATGATATTTATTTGACTCAATATTTATGGCAAGAGGGTGCCAACAGGTTTGTACTGGTTCTGGCAAGGGTCCCTGTCCTCCCAACATGGCAGAGGAGAGGCCAAGTGCACAGGGAAGCCTTGCTTCACAAACATGCTCTCAAGAACTGGCTTGGAAATGTGGTAACTTTTTAAATTCCTTCCTGATGGTGTTCAGGCTGATAGCCTTGCACTCGACTTCACTCCTATAGCTCCCTTCATGTTAAATTCACCACAGCAGAGACCAGAGAGCCAGCAGATGAGCCTTTGAGGGACACACTCAAAGCGCAGCCCCTGGTTCTCACTTCAGCCTCCAGTGTGTGTGTATGTGTGCTTGTGTGTGTGTCTACACACATGCACAATAACATTATGATATAATTTATACCCAGGCAGTTACCCAATAATGTGAAACAGCCCTGGCACAACAAAATTAAATAAGGTATGTAGGGGACGAGAGAGGCGTCTCAGTGGCTGAGAGAACTTACTACTCTTCCAGAGGACACAGCTGCTGATCCCCAGCACCTACGCAGCCCACCATCATCTGTAACTCCAGTTCTAGGGGATCCAATGGCAGTTTCTAGCCTCCAAGGGCATTAGGCCCGCATACAGTGCTCAGACACACATGCAAGCAAAACATTCATAATAATAATTTAGAAAGTTGAATAAAGAAACAAATGAGGCATGCAATTCAGTAATTTTTCAGTGTATTCAGCTGTGCAGCTCTCCCCACTGTCTCAGTCCAGAGCCCTTCTGCAGCCCCTTTGGGAGTCATTAATCACTCTTGCTACTTACCGGCTGCAGCTCTGTATTCCCTCCACTCTGCACAAACAGGACCCGATGACTCATGTTCTTTTGTGTCTGCCTTTTCTTGCTAGAACAATGGCTTGGGAGTCACTGTGCAGTGATCTGCGTGTAGGCTTGCTCCACACTTCAGGGTGTGGAAAGACCACATCACGCTTGCGCAAGAGCCAGCTAGCCTCCTCCATTTGGGACTGTTCCGAACAGTGTGCTATAAACTCCATATATATTTCCATGTGGGGAACATGCATGGACCCACAGTGGAATGGCTGGTCACGTGGCCACTCTGTTAGCCCCTGGTGAGCTGCCAGGCATTTCCATAATGGCTACTCTGCAGTACCTTCCCACCTCCATGGCGAGTCAGATGCCTTCACATCCCTATTAACCCTTGCTGGCATCCATCATCTCACCGTGACTACCCTGGAGGTGAGGATGGCCACTGCCCTTGCTGGAGACATGGGCAGCTGAGGGGCTGGGCAACAGCTACACCAGGTAGAATGAGGCAGAATGTGGATGGGCCTTACCAGATGGGCTGCTGCCTCAGGTGTGTGTACAGGTAGACCTTCTCCCCCTTCTGTTCATCTTCGGGACTGATCATAGTCACTGCAGGAGTAAGGAGATCTGAGGGCAGCCTGGGCTGGCACCCATGTTGGTAGATCCTATGAACGCTCAGCAGGCTCTGCTTCCCCCCAAAGTCATCAAGCTACATTGTCCAAATTCCATGAAGTTTTTTGCCAGCCCTAGCTTAGGGCTTCTTCCCAGTGTGGTCTGTGAAGTAGCACCCTCCCCCTAACATCTGGCTTAATCCTCTGGGGTTAAGGATTTAGTTTCTGCATACTCTGCTTAGAAAGGTGGAAAAGCCTTTTCATTAGCAACTAGCTCATTGCTGTTGCTGGCTAATGGTTGGCCAGTTTAAGAGTCTAGCCAGTTTAATGCTGGGTGCGATGGTGCATGCCTGTAATCCCAGCACTTAGGAAGACAGAGGCAGGTGGATCTCTGTGAGTTTGAGGGCAGCCTGGTCTACAAAGCAAGTCCAGGACAGCCAAGGGTACACAGAGAAACCCTGTCTTAAAAAACAAGAAGACAAAACAAAAACAAACAAAAAAACCAATAATAATAATAATAAAAAAACAAGGCCAGAGGGAGGCTCTGTCCCCAGGTCCCACCTCACCATAGCACTCCTAGGCTCCACCGTGCCATAGACCCTATCTCCCTAAAGCCCCACCTCCTAGACAACCCAGAGAACTGAGTTCTTACCAGTTTTCAGCTGTTTGTCCTTGGGTTTGTTCTCTTCTTCCCTAGAGGGGGGAAAAAAAACAACACAGTGAAAGGGCTCCATGCCACACTTCCTGAAAGTAGTGAAAGGGGCCCATGCTACACACATGTCAGGTGCTGCCTGCTCTCTGTGCGGCTCCTCTTAAGAGAGGTTGGGAACCAGTGCCATAGTGACAATTGGCAGGACCAAGGGGACTCAGGCCTACGGTGCTGAGACTGTAATGGCACCATTTTCTATGAGCCCACTGTGTGGATAGGGAGAGACAGGTCATGGACCCTGGCTATAAGCAAGCCTCAGGTGGCTCAGGGCCCTGGATGGTTACCCTTGTACCGTTGTACCCCTCTTCATGGAACCTCAGGAGGCAGAGGCAGGCGGATCTGTGAGCTTGAGGCCAGGCTGGTCTACAAAGCGAGCTCTAGGACAGCCAGAGCCACATAGAGACCTTGTCTCAAACAAATCAACAAAAAGTCCTCTGTCTGCCAGAGCAGTGCCTCTTAGAGGCAGCGCCATCCAAGGTCACGCTCTTATTAACTTGCAGGACAGTGACAGCAGGAAGGAGGGACAGTATTTGATTTCCCTGTTGCCAAATGACAAAGCCATATGCTCCTGTCAGCCCGAGAAACATGGTTCCTGGACCCCTGAGTGCCAGTGAACAAACAGCATGTGGAAACCATGGGAAGCTCTGGGACTTCAGAGTCATGCTGGGCTGGCAACTGTGCGACTTAAGAACAGCTGCAAGGCCAAGACTAGGCAAGCCACCTGCTTCTCCCAAAATCCATCTGCACATAAACTCAGGCCCATGCTCACACTCACTCATTTTTCCTGACCAGTGGTCCTTTCAGCTTGGTCTCCAGCCCCCCAAAGAAGCCCTTCATGTTCTCCGTGTTCTTCAGCAGCCGCTCAGCAATATCCTTCTTCTCTGCTAGCCAGCTGTTAGCTGACTTCAGGTAGGAGTCAATGCTGCCAGCTGGCTTCTCCCTGGGCTCTGTAGGGAGCAAGTGTGGCTTGCCTTGAAAGAGGGGAGAATGGGAGTAAGAAGCGATTTGCAGCACAGGACAGGAGAGGGAGAGTGCCTGAAGGTGGTTCTTGGAGACTGCAGGACAATAGGTGCTATCCTCAGTCTCCTCAACAGGGTCCTCAGAAGCAGCTGGCTTAGCAAGCTCCTCAGATAAGGGAAGGCCAGGTCTCCCTGGGGTGGTCAATAAGCATTGACCACACAGAGAAGTGGGCAGAAACTATGAAGTGAGTAGAGTGGCTGAAGGAGCTGGCATCTGGAAAGAAGATAAGAGAAGTATACACTGAGAGCCACACAGTGGGTCTGAGAGACTGGCAATGGGAAAGAAGAGGCTGCCCTGGGTTGGGTCCAGGGCAGACACACAGCCCTGTCTCAAAGGCATCTGGAATGGGTGGTCCTTCGTCAGGTAAATATGGGAGAAAACAAATGGGGAAAGGTAAGTGAGGCATCCCACAATCCCTGTCTCAGGTCAGTGCATGGAAAGAACCCCACTAAGGTAACCCTAATGGGTCAAGTGTGAGGGTCTTTGCACAGACTCTGATTAGGTGAGTGGAATGACCCTTTCTGTTTGACTTGATGGTAACTGTCAAGCATGCAGCCTGGCACAAAGGGCCAGGCTGGTGATCTATAGCAGTTAGGCCATTTGGGGCTGCTAAGAGCAGAAGACCTGGAGCACACGCAGAGGGAAGGGGCTGCACCCTGAGAGTGGAGCAACAGTGAGCAAGGAGGGCATGAAGGACCACTCAACTATCCATGCCCAGGTCTCCATTGGGAGCTTCCCAGCATGCTCCTTGAGGAGCTGAATCGGGCTCCTCTGGAAGGCTGCAGGCTCAGCACAAGACACCTTGGAGCTCCTACACACTGGGCCCTTCAACAACCTGAGCCAAAAGAGACTTCCTGGCTCTGTCATCTTTGCTTGGTCATCCCAGCCACCCTAGACTCTTCCCAGGATATAATCCTTAGACTGCTCCCCTGGGTGGCCAGCTCTGAACCCTACTTTGCTGGAGCAGAGACCCCACATGTAGCACTTCTGTTTCCTGTCATTTTCTTGCTGCACAGACAGCCAAGTCCCAACCCCAAGTACAGCCCACGTCTCCTCCCACATCAGGTGTCTCGTGCCTGCTTGTCCTCTTCCCAACACCAGCCCCTCCTCTCTGAAAGGCCCGAAGCACCTGCTGTTAATAAAGGGAGCTTCCCTTCATGCTGTGTGGCAAGCACACAACTCCCATCCCAGGGTGGCTGCTCTGGTGGGGCTTACTCACCCAGGTGGTAGTAGGTGAAGCACATGGTCATGAGGTTCTTGGCAGGCCCAAAGTCGTCCATCTGGTGGCACCTGGGATGGGAGCAAGACTGGCTGGCTAGAGCTCCACTACCTGACTCCCAGAGGTTCGCCTGCCTCTGCTTCCTGAGTGATGGGATTAAAGGTGTGTGCCTCCACTGCCCAGCAACCCCGCAAGTTAATGAAGCAGGACCAATCCAGATGCTGCTACAGCAGTGAAAGGGACACTCAAGCACGCAGTCAGGAGAGCCACTACAGGTGCACGGCCGGGTGCTAGGTGTGGGAAGGTATTTGTGGTCCTCAGCCTGGTCTCTTTCACATTAATACCACATCAAGGTGCAGGAAGTACAGCCCACTGTACCCCAGCAGGGCCAGGACTAGAAGACACCTCAAGAGTTGGTCCTACACCATTTAGGCAGATCTGATGACCCCTGTTTTTCAGGGGCCATCAGGATGATCAGTGCTGTCCCTCACATACAAGCTCAGAGGTCGGTAGCCTCAGATCTCCTGGAGGGCTGTTAGGACATGAACCACTGGACAACCTCAGGCTCAGACTCAGGAGTTGTGTGGGGACCCCAGGCCACAGTTGTTCCTATGCTCCTGGTCCACAGGCAACACTCATGAACCACAAGCAGATAAATATCCATGCCTTTCATGTCACTTTTTGAAAATAAAAACAATTGCATACAAGAAAGTGACATACTGAGTGGCATTCTAGGAATGCAAAGAAACATTCTTACTGGAGTGCAGTATGCTAAGGATTACAACCAGATACTAGTGGAATATTCACACAGCCATTCAACTCAGCAAACAAAAAAGCGAGAAAGGAGCTTTAAAAGAAAGGAGATTCTGCTGGTCCAGTGACAGATGCTGCACTGTGAATGAGAAGGGTAAGCAGAACAGGGCAGGAGAGGGCCCACTACTCTGCTCCAGGAAGATGCCAGTCACAAATTCTAGCCCAGAGTGTGTGACAGCTGGTGTGGCTGGCTTGTGGCGGGTGGGAAAGGTGGGAAGGACAGCTGCAGAGGCTTTGGGGAGAACATCACTTACTCAAACAGCACCACTGCGAAGGACTGCACCAGGCGGTAGAAAGTCGGCTCGGATACACACTTGGACTTGCAGCGCTGTGCAGAGAGAACTAGCCACATCAGCGGGACTCAGTGGCATGAAGCAGTTTAGCAAGGCTGGGGGACTGTCACTCTGCCTGTCTCCATTCAGCTTGAATGGGCCCCAATGGCCACTTCCCCTCTGCCAGGACTCCGGGCAGGACACAGGCAATCCCCAGGACCTCTGCACTGGAGCCCAGAAGGTATCCACCTGGGTCATCCTCACAGGATTTCATAAAGAAACTCCACATCTAGCTCACCCATGGGAAGAGTAGGAAGTGACAAAACCCCAAATGGCAACATTGGCTGTTCCTGGGTTTGTTAATTACTTTTTTGTGCAATTTCTAGTTTCTCTATGAAGAATACATCCCTATAATAGAAATGTGCATGATTCTTTCCTGAGCTTTCTCTAAACATTTGGTTTTACCTGGCTTTCACAGTCTTGACTATGTTAGCTTTTTCAAATTTTGAATATTACAGGTTATTTAATAGAAATATGCATGGACATGGACAAAGCCCATGTACATGCCTCTGAAACAGAAATTTTTGGAGGCTTCCCAAACTTGCCATAGTCCCCACTCTGTCCAAAGTACAGCTTCCAGTCATGGGGTAGACCTTTCTACCCTGCCCCACTTGTCTTTACTTCATCCTAGGGGCTTGTGTTCTCCACTCTCTTCACCTAGAGGCACTGACCAGGTTGTTGGTCCTTTTGCCCACCTTGCACTCACCTGTGCACTCACAAACCGTGCAAACCACTCACGGCCTTTCCCATCTTCGCCACTGCAGTACTCTCCAAACTTGGCTTTCTCTTCCTGGTCCAAGTCCTCCCTGGGAGAAGGGCAGAGCAAAATCAAGGTTCATTTCCTAGAACAAAAACTCCAGGAGAAAATGGGAAGGAGAGCAGAGGAATGCTGTTCCCAGTTCCCCTCCCCTTGCAGAAAAGTGTCTTGTTTTTATTTCTGAAGCAAGAAGCCTGGCTTCATGGCCCAGATATGGCTGGAGCAGGGAGTGGGAATTCTCCCACCTCTCTGCTAGCAGGCCTCCTGCTCAGGTGATCTGATCTTTGGTGAGGGCACAGGCCCTAAGAGCCCTTCTGCTCTGTGAATACCAAACATTTCCCTCAAACTTAAAGATGAAAATTAAGCAGAAGGCTGGAAATTGGCCAGCTTATGTAATTTGTATTTATGGTTTTCTCACCAGACAATAGTAATGTTATTAATTAAATATCAATATTAATACATTATAATATATTAATTACTGTTATGTATTTATGTTATACTGTATATATACATACAGTATATATGTGTATATATACTGTTATATATATGCATTATAATATAAAACATGTTTAAAATTATATATATATACATATATATACATATATAAATGATAAGAGTCTCTATATTATCTTTGTCTCAAACTTTCTATGTGGCCAAGGATGATCCTGATGTCTTCATCCTCCTGCCTCCACCTCCCAAGTACTAGGATTACAACTATATACCATCATGCTTGGTTTATGCATTGCTCAGGATTAAATCAGGGCTTCATGCACACTGGGAGCAAGCACTTTGCCAGATGAGCCACAGCCACAGCCCAACAAGTAAACGTTTATGTTGCTTTTAATGAATATGGACAATCACACTGTAAACCAAGTTCCTCTAGACTATGGCTGTGGGCAGCCTGTCCCCACAGGAATAGGCTTGATAGCATCCAGGTGCACAGCCAGAGGAGCCACAGTACCTGAAGCTCTGCATTTCCACCAGCTCAAATGCTGATGTGGCTGGTCCATAAAGAACCTAAGTTCTGGTGAGCTGCTGCAGCTACTAACAGGTTGATGACTATACCCTGGAGCCGTGGAGTCTGGGCTGGAGTCTACCTCCTCGTCCCAGCTGAAGTACCATTTAACAGTGACATGGACAGGCAGAACTAGGGGCCCACGCAGAGATCCCCCTGCTTAGGCCATATTCTAACCCCAGGCATCTGCTCTTTGGGCTTTTGCTGTTGGCACCCCTACTCTACTCCTTCAATTAGAGGGCCAGGGAATGGCTCAGTGGATAAAGGTACAACTGTGCAAGCACTATGACTTAAGTTTGATTCCTGGAAGTCATATAAAAAGTTGGATGTGACAGGCCAGCTAGCCTGCAGTGAGCCATGCAGCAGCATGACAAGAGAGACCCTGCCTCAACAGGGTGGAAAGTGAGAACTGACCCCTGAAAGTTGTTCTCTGACCTTCACGTACATGTTGTGGCACACACACCAACCCCCTGACTCTTAATTAGTTAAAAAAGAACCACAATAAAAAGCCACAGAGAGGTGCCAGGAAACAGCCACTTAGGAATCAGTTGCCTGCAGACTCCACCAGGGGGCTGGGTGACCAGCTTTTGTTGCCTTTATCATCCTGAATTCAGTTACAGCAGTAAGTGCAGCCTCCTGGCCAGCGAGACGCTGAGGCAGCTGGAGAAGCTTCTTTGGACATGCCCAGTGTCTGGGAGGCCAAAGCAACAACAAGGTAAGACAGGTGTCAGTGGAGATGGGGTGCAGAGCAGAAGCAGCAGCTCCCCAGAGACCAGAGTTTAGAGTGCAGAGAGCAGGGCTGGGGAAGTGGCTTGAGTTCAGGTCCCAGCACAAACATAACAGCTGGATGTGCCAGCATGCACCTGTAACTTTAGTGCTGGGGACAGGGCCAGGCACATCTTGAGGGCTCACTGACCGCCAGAGTAGTCAAACCTAAGGAGCCTTAGGTTTAGGAGAGACCTTCTCTCAGAAAGACAAATAAGGATTATAGCCAACATCAATTTCTGACCTCTGCACACTCACAGGCATGCAAACCTGCATACACAGGCATAACCACACAGACCAGACCCAGATACAGATACACACATGCATGCATGCGCTGCCCCCTCCCACATACCCACATTCATGTACACACACACACACACACACACACACACACACACACACACACACACACACACACGAATATAAAGGGGCTGTGGGTGTAGCTTAGCAGCAAGGCATCCCTGTGGTGGTTTGAATGAGAATAGCCCCCATAGGCTAATATATTTAAATGCTTAGTCCCCTGTTGGTGGAACTGTTTGAAAAGAATTAGAGGTGTGGCCTTGTCGAAGGAGGTGTGTCACTGGGGGTTGGGCTTTGAGGTTCAAAAGCCCACACCATTCCCAGGTCTCTCTCTCTGTCTTGTGGTTATGATCAGCTTCTGATCATAGTGCCATGTCTGCCTGTCTGCTGTTGTGCTCCTTTACATGATGGTCATGGACTCATCCTCTGAAACTGTAATCCCCAAATAAATGTTTTATTTTATAAGTGGCCTTGGTTATGGCATCTCTTCACAATAGACAAGTGACTAAGACAATCTTCAATATTCTCAGAGTATTCTGGGATGAATAGATAAGTACCTAACAGAGCTTATCATTTGTTCCTCTACAGTGTCATCTGCCTGGATGGCAACAGGGGTGCAGCCCAGACCATACTGAAGACACCATGGTGGTGGAAAGTCTTTTATTTGTTTCTTTGGTCCCCATGAGGCTTCAGCAGAGCCACTCATGAAATGGAGTTAAGTGAGAAAACTAAGGGGACATAGATAAACTGGCTACTCAGAGTCTGTGTTCCAGTGCCAACTTGGAGAAGCAGAGAACACAGGTCTGGCCAGGCTGAGGACCACTTCCACTGTGGCCACCCTTGATGCTGGGTCCCACCTAAACGTTGTCAATATGCTGCCCTCAGACAGTCCAGGACAGCCTACAGGTATGATATGCTGCTCCAGGGAAAGGTATTAGTTGGTCTACGGTGGAGTCCAGAACTCTTTTTTTTTTTTTTTTCTTTTCCAGAGTGAGGACTGAACCCAGTGCCTTGTGCTTCTGAAGCCAGCACTCTACTACTGTGGTAGTTTGAATAAAAATGGCTCTCATAGGCCCATAGAAAGTGGCACTATTAGGAGGTGTGGTCTTGGAGTAGGTGTGGTCTTGGAGAAGTTGTGGCCTTGTTGGGGAAGTGTGTAATTGTGGGGACAGGCTTTGAGGTCTCGTGTTCTCAAACTATGCCAGTATGGCTCAGTGTCTTCCTTCTGCTACCTACAGATCACAATATAGAACTCTGAGCTCCTTCTCCAGCACCATGTCTGCCTGCATGTTGTCATGTTTTCCACCATGAGAATAATTAACTAAACCTCTGAAACTATAAGCCAGCCCCAATTAAATGTGTTTCTTTATAAGAGTTGCCATGATCATGGTGTCTCTTCACAGCAATAGAAACTAATAAAGACAACTACTGCACTAAGTCCCCAAACCTCCAAGACTGGAGCCTCTTTAAAATCTCCCAATGTGACTCTATAAGCAGTCTAGGATAGCTAAGAGCCATTGTAGCCTATAATAGGAAGCAGGTCCCTGGAATCTGACAGCAGGCTAGTGTCCTTAAAATACCTACTCTGCATCCCAAAGGTGGCTTAACCCTTATCCCAAAAAGGGTCCACCCTCCTTACCACAAAGGGTCTACCCTCCATCCCACGCAGGGCCTACCCTCCAGAGAAGATCTTCTCTACATAGTTGCGCATGAACTCTCGAAGTGCTAGGGTCTCCTCATCTGGGGCTGAATCAGCACTCTGATTGGAGGAGAAGGACTCATTGGAGGAAGAGTGGCGGTCTTGGTCCCAGGATGGGTGTGAAGGCGACTCGCCCATGTCATTCTCACTGTCTGCAGACTCAGTGGTCTCACTCTCAGATGCCCCATCACCCAGGGAACCATCTGGGTCCTGGAGTGTTGAAGGTGCTGCTTCCATGGGAGAGGAGGTAGGTGGTTCAGTCCCAAAGTCAATCAGGGAACCCACAGGGACTTCTGGGGCTTCCATGATGGCTAGGCTGCCAAGCAGGATGGACACAGGCTAGGGAGCAGCTTCCTGAAGCTGCAAGCACGTACAAGTGTGTTGGGAGCTCCTGGCCACCAAGGCTGAGTCTCCAGAGGCCCGAGGCCCAGAGGCCCTACAGCATCTGGAATGGAAACAGACATAAATACTGTCAGTATGAGAAGGCCAGTCCCCCAAAGAAAGTCACTGAACACAAATCAACTTGAGGAAAAGCACGAGTCACACTTTTCCTGCACAGAGGATAATCTTTGTACCTACAGAATCTGGGATGCCACCAGCTGGCATCTGTTTCCTGGGTCCACTTTGCTGCTATATGGTAGCATGGCATAGACACTTGCTAACTGAAGGAGCCCAGGGACACCAACATCAGGATCCCTCCCTCCCCCAGCCCAGCTAATCTCTATACACTCCAGCCAACCAAGTCTGAGCATAAGGATGTCCGACTTCACTGGTAGCAAACATCAAGCAGCTCCTGCTGGCCCACTGCCCTCAGAAGCTGTGGAAGTGGCATCTTGCTAAGCAGCAGACCCTTCATATCCTGAGCTCCTCTCTCCCCAGTCTTCCTTCCAGACCCAGATCTGCTTCTCAGGCTCTTCATGGTTCCACCCTGTTCTTCCTTTCTCCATGGGCTGTGGCCACCTGGATATCAATGAGAAGTTACCTCTGTGCTCTGATCATGAAGCCTGCAGCTCTTCTTCCTACTCTCCCTCCTCCTTTGTCCTCCTCTTCCTTCCCCCTTCTTCCTCCCTCCCTATCCCAACTGCAGAATCCTGTTCACCCTCAAGGCCAACCTCACCTGCCCATCTTCTGAGAGGCTTCATTCCACAGCGATTCAAAATCAATTATGGTCCCTGCCAACCTGACACTGGCATTTCATCTAGACTCATGTATGAGCCAGTGCAGACTCTCATGGAGCACTGGATGCATGGATGAGCACACCTCACCAGGAATATGCTCATGGAGCTGAGAGAGCATGAGATGCAGGTCACACAGATAAAGCTGGAATGCAAATCTCAGCTTCCAAACCTGGGTTCTGGTACTGGCTCAGGATGCAGTTGCTGTTCTCGAAGTCATTCCTACCAGTACTGAGGAGCAGCAGGCAAATGGCAAAGGCCTGGGACAGCCATGCTCAGGGGTAGAGAGAGCACCCTCACTCTGCCTCAGGCCTATCAGACATGATGACTGCAGGGGAGGGCTGCCACCTGTACTGCTGAGATGACTGCATCTTCTGGAGGAATGCAGTCCAAACCCACACATGCTGACTCCTGAGAGCTCAGCACTCCCAGGTTGATCACAGATTCCCTCCAAACACTTAGCCCAAGGTATTTTTAGATTCTCTGAGTCAGAAAGATTAAACAGCTGGCTCTGGCCACCGTCCTCATGCACAGGGGCAGTAGAACACGTGCAGGAGAGCCCACACAGCCTTCCTCAGTGCAGAAGAGACCAACAGACCTTGGCACTGACATTTTATCTAGGCCAGGACAGAAGCAAGGGCTCACGAGGTCAGAGTGCAGTGAGTGACAGCTCAGAGAATGAGATAATGAGAGGCATTAGGATCTCCTCTCCCAGTAACATCTGCTACCTGTGATCCTGCTTTCTGGGAAAGGTCTCCCTCTGTGAGACAGCAAGACTGGGTTGATGTTGAAAGGCCATGTGGAACCACATTACTCCGTTCCAAAGAACAGAAAGCCACACACATGGCCACATGTTTGTGGCTATCCATGAAAAACATACAAGGAAAGCTTGCATCTGCAGTGACTAGGGCAGGGGCACTTAATCCTCCCACCTTACAGATTCAGTCTGCTCTAAAGCCTTGATTCTTGCTAATACACAAACCAGTCAGATAAACACACAGGAGGAAACATAGCCACTAAATGCTTGGACAAGTCTTGATCCATACTAATCACTATGCAAACTTTCCAGGTGCCGTGGCTCATGCCTGTAATCCCAGGCAGAGACAGAAAGACCCAGAGTTCAAGGCCATCCTCAGCTACACAGTTCTAACAAAACTGATATCCTCTAGCTCACTGGCAATAAGGGCAGATGCAACTCCAGGATTTGAATGCTTGGAGTTTATTCTAAGAAAATAATTTAAGCCATCAAAATCAGTTACACAGGAAAACAAACAAACAAATAAAAACAAAAACAAAATCCCAAACACTACAATAGTATCCGTGACTCTGACAGACAGGCATCTCCACACATAGCTAGTGAAGAAGTAATAACACAGACATCATAGTAGTCAGTGATTGAGGCAGTGAGGACAGTGTTGATAGTTCTAGGGAACAGCCCACTGTGTACCAACCCTGCCAGGACTCTGGGAACACTGAATGACAATGCACTGGAGACATGCACAGCACTGGTTAGAGGATGGCACTAAGTCCAGGCCCCCTCCTCAGCTCATTATCATACCAGTGACCTATGAGCCAAAGAAGAAGCCAGCTTAAGAGACTAGGTAGGCCAGACTAATTAAGGCTGTTTCTGATCCAGCCTGGAGCTCGTGGGGCTGGAAGGGTGAATGACTCACCCTTTCCAAGAAGCCCAGAGCGTCCTCTGCCTCTATGGGTTCAGGATGATGTCTTAGTCATTGTTCTATTGCTGTGAAGAGACACCATGGCCACAGCAACTCTTATAAAGGAAAACATTTAATTGGGGCTTGCTTACAGCCTCAGAGGTTTAATCCATCATCAGTATGGCAGGAAACATGGCAGCACGCAGGCAGACATGGTACTGGAGAGGAGCTGAGAGTTCTACATGTGGATCCACAGGCAGCGGGAAAAGAAAGAGAGGCACTGGGCCTTTGACACTAGGCTTTGAGCATTTGAAACCTCAAAGCCTACCCCCAATGACATCTTCCAACAGGCTAGATCTCCTAATCCTTTCAAATAGTGCCACTTCCTATGAGCCTATGGTCGCCATTTTCATTCAAACCACGACAGATGATGACAAAAGTCACAGGCCAGGGACAAAGGGAGAAGAAGCAAAGGGGCCAGATGCTGGTCTTGGCTTTGTGAATGGCAGCATGCTGAGGGTGCTCAGCATCATTCCTTCATCTCTCTCAGACAGACAGGCCAGCTGGCCAACCCTACTTATGGAGCTAGAATGTTCTGGTGAGGTGACCAACCCTCCTTACAGAGCTGAGATGCTGTGGTGAGGTGTGTCATAAGGACCTGGGCATCAGCTCCCAGTCGCCTCCCCAGGAAGGAAATGCAGCTATAGGCTTGCAGGTGATAGCAGCTCTCATGCTAACCTTGGGAGGATCTGGAGTGGCCTGAGGACACAGAACTGACTGTTGTCTGCTTGGAGCCAGCCAGGGTAACCATTCAGAAGCACAGGCCTGGTGGTGTCAGAATTCCTAGAGTTTTCAAGGCCTGCTGAAACCTGCAATGTGAAATCTTCCAATTTTTCAACAGTGGCAACAAATTTAAATTCATTTCAAAGCACTTTGTGGGCCCTAAGTCTGTGGATCACCTCAGTCTATTGGAGGAGGCTCCAGGGAGCCCTGGTGGTGCTCAGTCTAAGACACTGGCTTTCAGTCTCAGGCATAGTGCAGGCTTCCAGAAATGCTACACGTCTCCCTGCACTTTCTGGTTCCACTTCAAGGTGCTGCCAAGTAACTGTGACTTCCATACTCAGCCGAGATTCCTTCTTGCCACAAAACTCACTGACAGTCTACTGTGAATCAGCTACTGTGTGAAGAGCTGGAGTGTCTGCTTGCATGTGCTCCAAAGCACAAGAAGCAGGGAGAGGAAAACAGCATAAAACTAAGACATCACGATTCGGGAGACAGCTAAGTAGGTAAAGTGCTCACCACACGAGCACAAGTGACAAGCCACGTGCAACAATGAACACATGTAATCTCAACACTGAGGAGGTGAGAACAGGAGGAACCCTGCATCTCACTGGCCAGCCAGTCTGGTCAAATCTACAAGTTCCAGGCTCAGTGAGAGGCCCAATTTCAAAAAATAAGGCACAGGATGTATAAACTGACCACATGGCTGCTCCGTGGGGATGGATGCTCCAAGGGGATGGTTATTGTGGGAGAGAGAGAGAGACAGAGAAAGACAGAGAGAGAACAGCTAGAGGCATCTAGAAGAGTCCAGAATGGAGAGATAAAGTAGTAGACTGAACATGGCCAGCCACCTGGACCTGGCCATGGGAGAAGCAGGAGCAGAGCAGAGAGAGAGGGGGAGAATAAGAGGGGAAGAGTGGGGTGGGGAAGAGTGAGAGATAAAGACAGAGGGAGAGAGGGAGAGAAAAAGAGAGGGAGGGAGGAAGGGAGGGAGGGAGGGAAGGAGGGAAGGAGGGAGGGAGGGAGGGAGAGAAGGAAGGAGGGAGGAAGGGAGGGAGGGAGGGAGGGAAGGAGGGAGGGAAGGAGGAAGGGAGGGAGGCAGAGCATAAGAATGAGTAGCTTGTGGGGAGGGAAGCCTGTGACCTAGGAATGTTTAAGGTAAGGGAAAAGGTAAGAAGAGCTGGGATGCTAGCATGGACTCTTTGGTGATACTGAGGGAGCTTGGGCTTGTCCCTTCTGCTAGTGATAGGGGAAATGGCTTCTTTTTGTAGAGAAGAATCAGCTTTCACAAGTTCCTGAGAAACACTGGCTTTTATCTGACCACCAGAATTTGGGGAAATGGAGTTTCCTCTGGACCTGACACAGAACAACTGAGTAAGACATCTGACATTGACCTCTGACAACACACACACACACACACACACACACACACACACACACACACACACACA